ATTCTCTATCCCTTTTTTAATGACTCCTAACATTCTATTTGCTTTTTTCACTGCCATGTCACACTGAGTGGATGTTTTCAGAGAACTATCCACAATGACTCCAAGATCTCTCTCTTGAGTAGCTGTAGCCAAATTTGTCCCCATCATATTGTATATATAGTTGGGAGTATGTTTTCCAATGAGCATTACTTTACATTTGTCAACATTACATTTCATTTGCCATTTTGTTGCCCAATCACTTAGTTTGCTGAGATCTTTATGAAACTCTTCACAGTCTGCTTTGGTCTTAACTATCTTGAGCAGTTTGGTATCATCTGCAAATTTTGCCACCTCTCTGTTTACCCCTTTCTCTAGATCGTTTATAAATAAGTTGAATAGTATGGGTCCCAGGACAGACTCTTGGGAGAGCCCATTAGTTAGCTTTCTCCATTCTGAAAACTTACCATTTATTCCTACCCTTTGTTTAATCAGTTCTCAATCCATGAGAGAACCTTCCCTCTTATTCCGTTGCAGCTAACTTTACTGAAGAGCCTTTGGTGAGGGACCTTGTCAAAGGCTTTCTGGAAATCTAAGTACACTATATCCACTGGATCCCCCTTGTCCACATGTTCGTTGACTACTCCTCAAAGAACTCTAGCAGATTAGTAAGGCATGATTTCCCTATTCATCACACTGCATTTGTTTGCCTTGGAATAACTTGTTCTTTAAGCAAAACAACTTTGCTAATTTTAATTTATGAATCCTGGGTTACGTCAGGTTGTGTGCAAACCTTCAGGGCCTATTTCTCCTGCCATTCCTCTTTTGTTCTCTGCCAGACGTTGATCCAATTGTGCATGGGAATCATGTTGCTAATAAACAAACTATCTGAAATCCTTCTTCCACAATGAAATTCTCTTTTCTAACACTTTCCTTTTAAATGGATGGGGTTATTGAGAAATTATATAGAATCTGGCATGATCTGCTCCCCTGGAACAAACATTTAAGGACTCATTTTCTGGTACAAATTAGGCTCCTTCTCCATTTAACACTTATGTATTTGCCCTAGAAAATTCCATGATGGGTATATTTTTATGTTCACCAGGTCACAGCCTGAATGTAGACCTACTATCTGGCTTGAATTTTGGAACTCAAGTTCCAAGTATTTTCAGAATCAAATATACGTCAGAGTAAGCCAGTTAGGACTACATTTTCAAAGGAATGGGACACTAATTTGGGCCCTTGAGTCTACAATAGCAGGATAAAATTATTTTTTGTGGCTGTATCTCATTGCCAAAAAGGCAAAAGTAAGACATAAGTTGATTGTGGGTACCAAAACTTAACCTGGATGGTAGGCCTGATGAACACAAAAACAAACCCATCAAGGAATTTTCAAGGGTGAAAAACCCATTTTGCAGCAGAAAATGTATCCATAATGGTTTGTATCAGGGCTATAGGCAGGCTAGCTGACAAGGGAGGAAGTAAAGGGGAAAAGTGCCCTGGAGCCTGGTGATTCAAAATGACCCAGGGCTCCTGACACTTCAAATTGCCACTAGAGCCCCAGCCAGTGGGATCTGAGCAATAAGCTATGCACAGGACTCAAGGGCTGGCAGGGGGAAGCTAGACCCCATCACTGCCCATTCTGCCCAAGGCCTTTCCCTTACTAAGAGCCAGAACCAGTCCCAAACACACACAGCTTGCCAAGGGACCTAGACTTTTTTTTGGCCTTCCTGGGTGTAGACCACATTTTATTCTGAGTAAAGTTGATGAAGAAATTATATGTAGACATGGCAGACTTCAATGTTTTTCATACAGTTTCAATGGGTAGCATCTATGTTTTATTTTATAACTTTTTTTAAGTTTTTTAATCAACTTAAATTTTCACAGTTGTGTGAGATTATGGGTTACAAGCATTTTTTTTTCAATTGTTATAGATTTTCATTTTCACAATCATGGAAAACAATTGATGGGGAAGTCTGTGGTCACCTTTCTAAATGATACCTCTGGTCCAATGCCAGTGTTAAAATGTTTCACCAACGTTAAGGTGGGACACTCAGTTTTCAAAGAACACCTTTTTTTGTTGTCTGTCTTTATTTTTTATTAATATTGATTTCAGTATTTTTCATTGATTTATTTGTGTATGGGGAAATTGACATTTACTGACATTAAACAATGAAAACCAAATCCATCCACGCATCATTTTAAGGTTTGTTTCTCCTGATGATCTGTCTTCCACAAATTATTCTCTCTAATTAGTTTTGTTGGATGACAAAAGAAAGACGTATGGGCTCTGATCCCTTCAAGAGCCAGTTTAGTACTAAATGATTATTCAGTAGACTTGTTATGTTAACGTTGTAGTATAGGTGAAATGCACAATGTATGTTAACTAAGGAAAACTGAAAAGGATTTTTTTGCAAAATCTGTTTGATATATCAATATTAGTTTCCACTTAATAGTAGAATTTTTAGTTGGTAATAAATTGAAAAGCATTTTATTTGTATGATCTCTTTTGAAATATAATTGTAATGTATCCTTTCCCATTGGCAGCAGTGACCAATTTGTAGCATCTTGCTGTACCAGTATTTACAGTAAATTCTTAATATCTGCTTTAAAAATGGATGTGAAACAGGACAGGAAACATGCTATGTTTTTCTGAAAAGGGAAACTGTTACTAAAAAAAGTTAAAAAAATAAGTGCCTACAAATTTCAATATAAGTGTTTTGTCAGATTTCTTTGACCTCTGGGAATAAAAATGTATTGGGTGAAATCCTGGCTGTACTGGAGTCAATAGCAAGATCCCCATTGACTCTGGGAAGGGCCCAGGATTTCATCCACTGTATCATGAGTCTTAGAGGCAAAGAATTGCTTTCCCTGTTAGCAGTGCCTGTTGAATATAAAGGCATGTCTCAACAGCAGCGTTATTTCGACATAACTGATGTTATTCCAAAATAACGTAGTACGTGTCTGCACTACAAGCCTTTATTTCAAAATAATGGCAAGCTGGAGGACTTTTTACTCCGACTCCTAGTAACCCTTATTTCACGAGGAGTAAGGGAAGTCGAAGGAAGAGAGTTTTTCCTTTAACATGCTTCTGTTTTAGACATCAACGAAAGCCAAATTAAGCTATTTCAACTTAAGCTACACAATTGACATAGCTGAAGTTGTGTAGCTTAACGAAAGTTTTGCCCTACTGTGTAGATGTACCCTAAGTGTGTAGGTTTACTTTGTTGCTTTCTTCTCTGTCTTCCTCTTTATCACCATCTTATCCTAAAGTTACCAAACAGGAGTAGACCAAAAATAAAATTACAGATCATACAGGATGTATGGGAAGCTCACATATTTGCAAGTCTTGTGTCTATAAAGGAAAAATTAGGGTGAGAATGAAATTACTTCAGTATCTTTCTTTTTGAACATTTGAAATGATTAAGCAATTTTGCTGAATTATGTCTATAATTCTAAAATTCTTCAGTTCAGTCAAGTTTGTGGTCAATTGAGAACTAGCTGATAGTCCACATAGACCCAGATGACTATTTGGTTTTGGTTTTTCCTCAGGTACAAGAACTAGAACATCACAGAATAAATACAAATTCATTAAATGCTTTTCCATTGTTTTGCCATATAAGAAAGTGTTCAGCTGCCATGTAGATATTTTGAATTGGAAAGTGGGAGGCAGAGATTGATCAGTGAAAATCAAGTCTTTGTGTTACATAAACAGGGCTTGATTCTCTCCAGTGGCCAAACAGGATTTGGGTACAGTGGAGGGAGTAGACTGATAGGGAGCTATTTGTAGTTCTCTGATCCTCCCCCAATAGTCACTTCATAAGGTAAAGGTGCACAGGGGCAGCTCTAAATTATCCTGCTGATATGTCTTTGCCAGTACAGAATTGGGCTTGGTGGAAACTTGCTCTTCTCTCCTCCTCCAACCCACCCCTTTCCTTCCCTTACTTTGGCAAATGGAGTTCCAGTACAAGTGGAAGTCGAGTAGCAGAGCAAAGTGAACTTGGTGGCAGAAAATCCAAGTCCCTCTTGGTATGGTACAAGAAAGAACACATCTGATTTCAACTTTGCTTGGCTGCAAAGGATAGGATTTTTGATTATCTATCAGAGATGTCTAAGTATGGCTTCTCTAATAATAAAATTCATCTTGAGTGTGAATCTTATGGTAATTAATATTCATATCATCCATCTTAAGACCACTCCAGTAGAGTAATAAAATTAGTATAATGAGTGGAGCTATTAAATTACATCTGCTTTATTGTTTCTTGAAACTGCTTTTTATTATGAATGTTGTTGAGGTGAACACTCCAAGGTACCTTTGTTTTAGTAATAACTCCATCATGTCAAAAATGCAAAATATGTAATTCACGGGACATATTAATTAGAATTTTTGGAAAAATAATGTGAAATATAGATTGTATATGCAGAACTCTATCACAATGCACCATTTTAAACTGATGATATTCTAGAAAATATTCTGTATTTTATTTAGAAGAATTAAATATGTTTAATCAAGACAAACATTATGGGTTGACAGCTAATTTGAAAATGCTGTCTCACATCAGTGCATCATTGCTTGTCAGCTGCATAATTGTGTCAAAGAGGGAGGATTAAAGTGAGAAATTGTTCATCTCAGGTAGTTTAATTAACACTAACAAGTATCTCTGCACTGATATGCACACAGTAGCTATGGTCATTCTGCTACTTTTAAATCATATTTAATGAAAGAGCTCAGCAGAAGAAGATACTTATATTCATTTTATTGTTCATTTACTTAAAAAGAAACCATATACAGGAGTTCTGATAACATTAAAATGAAATAATCATGGTTAACATTGTCTGAACGAAATATAACAATGCATATATCTTAGTGTTATCTGATACTGTAGGCAGACTTCAATTTGTGTTTGTATATCAAATGCTTAATAAGGATGAATCTATTCAAAGTTTCCACAGAAACAATTGAAAATGACTATATTTTAGTTATCTCACATGTGTGTGTATTTTTTTTGTTACATTTCCTTCAGTTCCTCCAGCAATTACGTTGCTACAGAAGTCCTTTAATGCCACTGCAGATCGGGGAGAGGCAGTTACTTTATTCTGTAGAGCCATTGGCTCTCCTGAACCTGAAATCAGCTGGTATAGGTAAGTTCAGTTTAGAGCTGTGTATCAGAAAGATTTGAAATGTGTTATCAGTTTGTATCTTACTAAAATAAACTACCCTATTGTTTTATGTGGTTAACAGGCATTGCTAAATAAATGAAATAACATATTTGTCCAAACCATGGTTTTCATTAAAAAAGAGAATTTAGAAAATATCTAACTTATATTTTAATGTGTCTTGTATTAAAGGAATAACAAATAAAATGTAAGAACCTCTGATTTTAAGAAAAAAGATATATTTCTGAATTCTCCATGAAATGTTCAGACTCCAGCTACCTAAAATAACAAAGTATGTAATGCTATAAATACATGACCAACACACAGAGTAACAATATCATATAATACACTAATACATTGTAAAAGAATATATCTCTTAAGCTGATTTAAGTCATCAGGTCTTCCAGTGTAGCCAAACACTTAGTAACAAGTGGCTTCTCAGTAAAATACTCAGTAAAATTCTCAATGGCTAAATGCTCAGTAACAGTATGGCTTCTTTGTGTTATATTAGTTTATCTGGATATTTGATTTCATTAATTGCAGAGCAGTTGTGGATATAATGTGAATCTGTTAAAAACAGGAAACTGTTTTGGAGATGTTGGGTAAAGCTTCCAAGTGAAGTCAGTGAGATTTATGTGGTTAAACCTTTACACTAGATATGTGTTTCCATTTTTTTACTTGAATGAATTGCTCTCCAGGTGGCCTTTCAAAGGGATGATGTGTGCCTATCTTTCAGAGTGCCCTAAAGTAAGGGCCAAGATGGCACAATGAATTAGAGCAGCAGTGGAACAGGCCCAGTAGACAGCTGCTATCTGCAGAGCAGGGGTTGGGACCAGTTCCTCCCTAAATTCCACCCCTTAGAAAATAGGAGAAGTGGCCTAGGAATTGAGGAATCCCTAGAAGGGGGAATTAGACTATAGTGATCCAGCTAAAGTGCTGGTGCTGGAAAAGACCTGAGAAGGCAAAGATGTTCCCTCCAGGGAAGGAGACTTGGGGCACTGCTCTATTCCAGAGTGGAAACAAACTGAGAGACATTATAGAAGGCACTGAGAGACTATTGGACTTGTACCCAGGAAGGGGGTTCTTTTATTTCACATGTAGACTGCCGGTGACTCGGCTGGAGGGAAGAGTCACCGAAGACTCACCGTAAACACAGAGAGAGTGCAGGACATGCACTTGGCCAGGTGGTATACATGAGAAATGAGTGCAACCAAAATACAGTTCTGTTTGAGTAGGAGGTTGGAATAGATGATCTCCTGAGGACTCTTGCACCCCAAATCATCAATGAGCACATCATTCTATGAAATGGTGTGCTGACTTTCTGACATTACGCTAATTCATTTGGATTGAGGAAGGAGCAAGTAAGTGTCATCATTACCTGTCTCACTATTACAGATAAGAATTCAATTTCTATCAGATGTAACAAAAATTAAATAAATGATGATAAACCCAAATTTATTAGAAGTAGTGGTGGGAAATTCACAAACTAACATTTCACAGTTTGGGAACTTGGTGTCCCTTTGAGGTCATGTTATAAAATGTAGCTCCTGGCTGGACAGAACTCTCTAGAATTATCAGAAAGCCTAATATTCTCATTTGTCTCACTGCAAGAAGACAATTCATCTTGCTACTTTACATTTTCAAGATGAAAAGTAGGGACACAGTTATCGTGTATCTTTGGAAGTGGGATGTGTAGAATTGTCAGTCTTCAGTGCCATTTCTACAGTATACTTTAATTTGAAAGTATCACGGTAATGTATACAAACAAATAAAACACCTTGCAGAAGGACCTCTGCAAACCATCTGTACTAGGCTGTGTCCAGACTCGAGGGATTTTTCGAAAAAAGTAGCCTTTTTTCGAAAAAACTTCACCTGCGTCTAGACTACAGCTGCGTTCTTTCAAAATTAAATCAAAAGAACGTGGCTTTTCTTTCGACGGCGGAAAACCTCATTTCACGAGGAAGAACGCCTTTTTTCGAAAGTGCTCTTTTGAAAAAAGGCGTTCTTGAATGCAAACAGGGCTTTTTTGAAAGAGAGCATCCAGACTGCCTGGGTGCTTTCTTTCAAAAAAGCGGCTTGTTTTTTCGAAAGTACTGCTTGCAGTCTAGACGCTCTTTTTCGAAAGAGGCTTTTTCAAAAGTATCTTTCGAAAAAGCCTCTTTCGAAAGAGGCTTGCAGTCTAGACGTAGCCTCAGTGAACCAGATCGACCCTCTGTAGGAATAATGACCTTTCTAAAAGGGGAAATGTTTGTTGTAAACCATCCAATACCTCTAGAAGAATTAATCAGGCCCTGAGTGGTCTAGTGAATGGGAAAGAGACTAGTGAGCCAGCAGACTTGCATTCTGTTCCTCACTCTGCCACTGACCTGCATTATGAGATCTTAAGGAAGTCAGTTCACTTCTCTGTTTCTCTTTCTGCCCTTCATTTGCTTTGTCTGGTTACATTATATGCTCTTGAGGGAATGGGACTGTCTGTGACTGTGTGGAATTACAATGCCTGTTAAAATGAGGCTTTGATTTTTGGCGACAACACCTAGATCTGGAGTGGCGAATTACCAGACTGTGACTCTAAACTATGAGAAGAAATGGGATGTATTATTTGGGCACCATAACTTTGTATTCTGTTTACAACTATGCCATTGAGTTCTGTGCTCTTGATCAAGTCTTTTAGCCTTTCAAAGCCTCAGTTTGTTTATCTGTAAAAGAGCTACTGTAGAAAAAGCATCTACAGATCTTAAGATAAAAAGTGCTAGAAACATGCAGAGTGTATTGTAAGTTACTTTCACTCGTCGTCGTAGGGAAATCCGCGGGGGATTTAAATATCCCCCGCGGCATTTAAATAAAAATGTCCGCCGCTTTTTTCCGGCTTTTAAAAAAGCCGGAAAAGAGCGTCTAGACTGGCCCCGATCCTCCGGAAAAAGTGCCCTTTTCCGGAGGGTCTTATTCCTACTTCAAAGTAGGAATAAGAGCCTCCGGAAAAGGGCACTTTTTCCGGAGGATCGGGGCCAGTCTAGACGCTCTTTTCCGGCTTTTTTAAAAGCCGGAAAAAAGCGGCGGACATTTTTATTTAAATGCCGCGGGGGATATTTAAATCCCCCGCGGATTTCCCTACGACGACTGCTGAAATTTACATGCCCCTTCCGGAAGAGGGGCCAGTGTAGACGTAGCCCATATGTCAAAGGAATAGAGGGATGGAAATTTATGCTACATGCTTGTCACTAAGGAAGAAACTGAACAAAATATTTCTGATTCCACAAACTGAAGTAATAAAACTAAAATATTACTTTTTTCTCACTGATAACCAGCAAAATTAAGGATTCTGTAAGAGTTTGTTGGATTTTCAGGGATTTTCTTAGGATAATCCTGCAAGTTTGGGAGATGGACACTGGTCATCCTCCTTTACAGAAATTCTAGTTGGATTTCCCAATAATACTCTAGCTACATTGCCTCACTATTAGTAAACATAATTCATCAGGACTGTCTCTTCACACAGGATCAGGTCAGGAGCCCTTTACTCAATCCCCATTGAATTCTATGAGCAACAGGTTCACATTTTATGTAAAGTTCAGTATCCTCTTTATATGGGGGATTTTTTTTGCCAAAATAGCTGTTGAATGAGCAACACTAGTGTGCAAACAATAACAATTATTTCAAATGAAATAATGAGTTTTGATTTACTGAAGTATTGTGTTACTCCTAGTTCGTTGTTTTTATGTTATTTTAAGTTAAAGAATTTTTGGGAAATATAACTATAATTTTTTGTATGGCCTAATCCTGACACAGCCAAAACTCCCACTGACATCAGTAGGACATTTTTCTTTTGAAAAGGACCGAAAGATTTATGACTATTGTGATATAATCTTTCCTTTGTTATGATTAAATACAGGCAGATTCCAACCGAGTTAAAATTCATTTTTTCAATTTATCCCCTGGGATTTTCTTTTTGGTTTCCCACAGGCTGCTACAATTAAGGGTTAAATTGAGCCCTGGCACAAACAGGTCTTTCACCACTGAAGTCAGATGAGATACAGATGGACTGACCTTGTACCAATAACAATTAGCCCTCTTGTAAGCCCTTTGTAGTGTTTGACTCAATAAGCAAAATGCTGACCAAACCAGGAGCTTCAGGATTGGAACCAAATCCTCCTTTGTATGAAATTTGCATGTCAGAATTTTAACTTACTGATCATCATTTGTCTATGCCAATTATTTTATCTATGTTTCTATGGGAATATAAACATTATTTTATATTCAAGTACCATTCTCCATTGCATGATGTATAATTAAAGGAATTGAGCTAAAGTGTCAGTGTTTCTCTACCAATCCATTAGATTGCTTATATTAGTTTTGGAAGGTACATGAAAAGAAAGATCAGTATGGATTAGTTTTTGCTTTATTTAACATGTGAATGCGCCTAGTTAAAATTTCACTGTAAATCTAGGGTAACTCCTCTGTATTGCATGGAGTTACACTGGAATTAAAGCAGAATGAGCAAGTAAAGAATTCCAACAGAATTAAACTACCCAAATTTTTAAGACAGGTGTGCTCTGATCCTGCAAATAATACTAATGTGAGTAATCTGGGTGAAATCAGTGCAGATAAACATTTGATCTTTAATGACCGGATTTAGAATCAACCAACAAAGGAAATAATCTTTTAATGAGTTACATGTATCTGTTTGTTCTCTATTAATTTAACTCTGTCCCATTCCTTGGAAGTCCCAGTTTCTACTTTCAAATCATCTTGGCTACATCTACATTGGCCCCTTTTCCGGAAGGGGCATGGTAATTTTTGAAATCGCAATAGGGAAATGCGCGGGGGATTTAAATATCCCCCGCGGCATTTAAATAAAAATGTCCGCCGCTTTTTTCCGGCTTTTAGAAAAGCCAGAAAAGAGCGTCTACACTGGCCCCGATCCTCCAGAAAAAGCGCCCTTTTCCGGAGGATCTTATTCCTACTTCAAAGTAGCCCACGAGTGTAGGAAATGTTCATCACAAAAGACATTTTGGGACCATTTTTGACCTCAGATACTTTCTGCATATCCTACTGAAATCACAGGAAATTGTGAGAGACTATCTGGGTGTGGAATCAAGTCTGCTATAATTTGCTAAATAAATAAAGGAACTCACACTGAAAAGGAGATGAATAAATGTTACTATCATATTTATAAAATGAAAGCATCAGTAGATTAAAATTTGACTGAACTTTAATAACAAAAGCTTCAGAGGGATAGCCGAGTTAGTCTGTCACAGGAAAAACTTTAAAAAACAACAGACTAGTACATTGATTCTCAATCAGTGGTACAAGTATCCTTGGTGTACTCGACCGGGGGGGGGGGGGGAGTACATCAACACAATTGAAATTTAGAGAAAACTGAATTTTTGTTTTAAAGTTTTACAGTGTTTTATTACTTTTGTACTTTTTACACCCAAAAATGTCATTTCCTGCCTGACTATAAGTAAGTTGTTTAAACATATGTGCTGCAATGGTAGAAGAACTTTTGTGTGTCTGAAAACTGTAGGTACTGGGGGTACTTATAATTTTTTTTTAAAAGGGGTACTTTATAAATAAAGGTTGAAAAACACTGGACTAGTAGCACCTTAAACACTAACAAAACATGTAGCTAGTATCATGAGCTTTAGTGTGCGCAATCCACTTCTTCAGGTGACAGGAGTATTAGACATCCGGATCTAGAAATAAATAATGGAAGGAAGGGGGGAGAGAAAAACGATAAAAAAGGAGGGGGAAAAGAGAAAAAATAAAAAGAGACAGTGAGTAGATGGTTCAAATAGTTACAACAGGCTGATTTGAACCATCTACTCACTGTCTCTTCTTTTTTCTGCTATCCCTCCTCTCTTTTCACTTTTTCTCTCTCCCCCTCCCCCCCCGCCACTTCCCTTATTTATTCTTGGATGTGGACTTCTACTACTCCTGTCATCTGAAGAAGTGGGTTGCGCCCATGGAAGCTCATGATACCATCTACATGAATTATTAGTCTTTAAGGTGCTACTAGTCTATTTGTTGTGTTGTAAGTTTTTTTTTTAATAACAAAGTATAAGACAGAGGGAAAATCTTACCAATATCATGTTCTTAGCATAAATTAATCTTCCCTAGAAAGTATCTATATTCTTATTCAAAATAAGATCTATTTGGAATTATTTTAGAATTTGTTGTAATTAAGATGATGATCACCATAAAATTATCAGTAAGAAACTAAAAATCACCATGGCCCTGATTTTTAAACTTGGGTGTTGTTACCAGATTTGCCCAATACTCTGGGGTATGCTCATGGTCATTTATCAGGGTTACCCTTATGGGACTGGGGGAAGGTTAACAGTTCTATCAGTGTGCTGTTGGTGCTTACTTGGGCTCTCATATGGAGCTGAATTCTCCCTGCTGCCAATTCCCCCTCCCACTGGAGCTCTCCTGCAGGAACTAGGTTCCTCAGGATGGGGTTCTTACCACCTTGGCAACACACACAGACACTCACACCCACTAACAGAGCACGTCTGAGAGGACTGGGTACTCAGCACTCACAAGCTGACCCCCTCATATGTCCCTGGACTCAGCTGGCTGGGTTTCACAGCAATGCCACACTGCACCCTCATGTGCCTTTGGACTCCGTGTGCTGGATTAAACAGCACTTTAAGCTGCCATCCTCATAAGCCCCCAGGTTCAGCACCCCCTATCCCCACTTTCACATCACAGTCATTCACTGGTAAACCACATGATGAGCAAACCCCACGGGATTTTAGGCACTACAGGGATCTTTTGCTTGGGTACAAGAAGCGTTGTTGCAGAGCAAATGGGGAAGCCAAAACAACACCCCTTAAGGAAGAGTGAGCAAAAGAGAAAGAAAGAGAGAGAAGCAACCAGTTTAACAATGAAAGTGATTTATTTCTGAGTAGTGAATAGATATCAAAAGGTTACAATATTAAATCTAACAATTACAATATTAAATCTAAATTGAAACTGATTACAAATGTTAGGTAACCATATAACAGTTTACACAGGACAGGGTCAGGAGGCTATGCTTAGAGAGATAGTTGATGGGAGGGAGAAAGAGAGAGAGAGAGAGAGAGAGACCTCACCACTCCACGGAGCTTGCACTGATCAGGGTTCCCAGATGATGATGGTAGCCGGGGGTCCAGAGGGCAGGAGATAAGCAGGACAGAGCCCCCAGCACGATCAGACAGGAGATGAAGAAGTCTCAATGGAACTGATGCAGTTTAAGTCCAGGTATCAGAACAGTTTTCTTGAGGCAAGGATAGGAGTTTTTATAGGGATAGTTCAAAGAGAAAGAGGAGAGACAATAGAGACTGATTACCCCTGGTTATGGGTGATGTTCCTTGAACGAGCTCACAATGCAACTTGGCAGTTTCAGTATTTTAGATGTCAATAGGATCGTTACTAGAATTGGTCTGATAATGACTAATTTGGGTGTGAGCAGGCTTAGGTTCATTAGCATCTGGAGCAGGGATTTCCCATCAGGCAGTGCTTCTCTGCTTTCGGTGTCCCATAGTTCAGTGCGGTTCCTGCCTTGGAAGAGCTGCTCTCCATCCTGTATGCTAATGAGATGTCCCTCTGTTCCATCTTTAATGCAAATGAGGCTGGGGTGTTTCCTTAATTATATCACCCTTGTCTGAAGCAGTTTAGGTGTGTCTTCCCCGGCCTTTTCATTGCTTTGTCTTTGATTCTAGCAGAGGCCTGAGGGAGGGGGATGGTTTTCCATGAGTGTCACTCCCTGGTTCCCCAAGAGCACAAGGCTGACAGGTGACCATGTTCTGGTTCCCCAAGAATCACAGAGCTGGTGGGTAACAGTGTCTAAATCATATGTAGGTGATTTGGTCTCTCAATGCCATTGAAGTTAGAAAGAGCTCAGCATGTGTGTAAATCAGGCAATGTATGTTTGTTTTTTGTTTGTTTGTTTGCTTGTTATGTGAAGAAGGTGCATTGCTGAGCAACAGAAAAAACAGATCAAAGGAAGCTTAGAGTAAATAAGACAAAGTGAAGAGAAATAAAGTCAGGATTGCATTCTAGTAGAAAAAGTGCATAACGTAATTGTGTGTATGCCAGGGTGCTGAAGTGAGTTGGTCAAGTACTGATTAGCCATCAGAGTATTCACAGGTTTTGTTATTTCTAAGCCATCTGGACTGTACATATCCTAGTGGCTGGAGATTTGTTTGTTTACTGAATTGTGGCTAGCTAACAACAGATGAGAAGGAAAAAATACTGAGACAAGTTGTTTATGTGCCAGTATACTACATGAGTTAGTGTGAAACCATTTTTATAAATTATCTCACTAATGTGAATAGCAGTGTCATTAAATCAATGCTACAAATTATTAGAATGAAAATGTTATACTGTTTCTAATTAATTTGTATTTTAGGAGATGGTAATAAAATTCATATGGCAAGGAGGTTGAGTATCAAAATGTGATCCAGAATGGATTCTCTTCTGTCCAGTATTTGGATGCATTTATTAAGACACCCAATTACCCAATGAAACAATTTACATTAAAGTGAAATCAACTGCTTCCACATATAATGCCAGCCTCTAACACACATTTTGCTGTGTGCTTTGTATGGGAGCAAAATAGCCGTGTCCTCCAAGGGAAATAACTTTGAGGCGACACACTCTTCTAAATCAGAAAACTAAATGTGGTGTTTCAGATAGAGATACATTTGTGATTATAAATCCCTTTCTATTCTTCAGGAATGGCAAGCTTATTGGTGAAAATGAAAAATATATTTTCAGAGGAAGCAATACAGAATTAACTATCCGAGATATCAGAAATATTGATGCAGGTCCTTACATTTGTGCAGCAAAAAATAAAGCAGGAAATGATAAAAAACAGACATTCCTCCAAGTTTTTGGTAAGTATTGCCTGGCATATACTGTCAATTGTTCTGTTGTTTTGTTAGTTATTTCATTGCAGTTGGTGGTAATATTTTTTATAAAAAACATACTGGAATAGATCTTCATTGTGTATATAATTAAGTCACTGGAACACTGCCATATATGCCATTTGAGAAATAGGTTTATATTGAGATCCAAATTTGATTTGTAGACCTCAATCCATGAAGGAGAATGAAGAATCTAGAAACCCAAATAAGGTTATAAAACTGGATTTGTAAGGTCCAAATGCCAGTTTACCTATATTACTCTTATTTATATATATATTTGTTAAATACAAGTAACCATTATGGTTAACAGTAGCAACTGAAATTGTAACTTATAAGTTCATATGGAATCTTGCCACCAGAAGGTGCCAATTGATGCAGCAGCCAACTTTGGCATTGTGGTACTAGGGATGTAAGTGACTAGTCGACTACTTAACTACCCAATCAATTTAGGTTTATTACATAGTTGTGTCACTTCTCCACTAGTGGCTTCCTCTTCCCCTCCTTTGCTGAGTCTATAGCAGAGGCAGGAAGTGGGAGGAGCAGCAACCAGTGCAAGGGGGAGCAGATCAAGTTAGTTCTCCCCCAACACTGTCACTGTGGGGGGAAGGAGAGTCAGAGGCGCAGTGGGTGAAATGATGCAAGCTGGAACTGAGCAGTCCCGGTTCACACTGCGTCTCAGAAGCCCCACCTCTGCTTTTTAAAAGTAGTAAAAGATGGAAGGCTCTTACTTCATTTAAAAAGCAGAGCCACAGTGAATTCCCTTATTGACTAATTGAATAGTCAATGGAAATTCCATTCTTAACCACTATTTAACATACCTAAGTGGAATAAGGGAACCTTTTCTCTGCTGTTTGCCACTTTAATCTTTACTCCTGAATTTGATTTTGAAATTCTGTTATCTTCAACATCTGCTGAACAGCAATTCAGATACAGAACACTGAACTGGTAAATTATTAATTTTCTGTGGTTTCCTTTTAAAAGTTGGTTGTTGGATTATGAGAATATGTATGGATGGAAGGAGAGAAAACCTTGAATGTATAATCCTCCCCCACAAATAAAACCCCCCACAGGAGACTTAGCTTTTTAAATAAGGCATTTTTACTCCAGTGAAAATCATATAGAAGCAAGATTTTATTTTATTTATTTTATTATTTTTTTAAAATTGATTGGTTGATCTTAATATGCTTTATTGTTTGTAAGTATCACGACTGTTCATAACTCTGACATGAAAGGGGTAGCTGCTAAAAAAAACTCCTCAATATTACAGACTCTGTGACCTTGGACTGCAACTACTCAAATGCAAAAGCCCCTTGAAGGTAGGAAGAAGCACTTGGGAACTTCTCCCTGTGGGTAACCCCAACTCTTTAGTCCTCCCTTAGGAAAGAGCTTGAAAAGAAACTGTAATCTCTTAATATCTGACCTGCAGTTCAGGCACATGGACACACAACTTCTTGCCTTCTAGAACACAGGAATTAGATTGGAGTTGTTAAAAAGTGATTTTATTAACAAAATAAAGAGGATATATTTATAAAAGCAAACTTGGTTGCTAGGTGTTACATGACTAAAAAAAAGATTAAAGAACAGAGAAGAGAAACTAAATGTTCACATTTTTGTCAGCATGTGATGCTGCTGCCATAAAATCACATCACTTAGTTTTTAAATTAAAAATATAGTAGAGCAAAGCTCCCATGCACATTGGCCTTAGGGAAAAAAATCTGAAATCTGAAACTGCTTGACAATTACAATCCTGAAATTAACTAAATAAAAATAAAAAGTATTAATAATTATTTGTTGATATTAATACTCAGTATCAACAATTGAAATGCTTGAGGCAACAATGTTGAAGACAAATACAATGCTTCATTTTTTCAATTTATTTATTAAATCTAGATTTTTTTTCTACTTCTTGAAGCAAGCAATACTAATGATAATATCTACTCTATCTGTACAAAGCAACAGTAATCCGTCTCAAAGTGGATAGTCTGGGAAAGTGGAATCCACATCCCAACCAATGATCAGCCATGATCCCACTGCACTACTTCTGCAGGATGTTGGGAACATTGGTCAGTGTTAATGGATGTTGCCAGACCAAACAGTGCTGGATTTCAGAGGTACCAATGTACAGGTCCGACAGTCAACTACAGTACTCAAAAGTTAGCCTAAAGTGAGGCATTTCCTATCTGTGCAATCTTAATTAAAACCCCTTCTACATATGCATTATAACAGTCATTGGTTACGTGATCACAAGTAATTTTTTTCCCACAGGATTTCTGGCTCAGTTCACATGATGGATCTGCTATGTGGATAGAAGAGGCTTAGATAGTGAAGGAGACTATTGTTTTTAGGGCACTTTCCTCCTCTGTTTTCCTCTGAAGTTGAAAGGTGTGTGCTGTTTTCAGGCCTGGGATGGGTGAGCCTAAGTCCACCCGAGACTAAAGCCCCTTTTCCTGAACTAAGGGGAAGTTACCCCTAAGTCCAGGTCATAGTTGAGTTCTGGGAACAATAGTGGAGAAATCAGGAATGGAAATGAGGTCAAAAGTTAAAAATGAGAGAGCCAGAGTGTGGGACACTGAGCAGAGAACACCAGACTGAACTCACCAGTCATCAAAGGCATCCAGAGGGTCAGTAGAACTCTGTCTATAGATGTGATCAGATGAGAGACTGGAAGTAGGTCCCACAATTACAGAGTATCCCTCCGTCCAGCTTTGTCCTATTATGATGGATGACTCTTTTGGCCATAGCCAGGGGAAGGTTGATGAGGTGATACAGATTTTTTTGTCAGGCCATGTGTATGACTCAGGAGGTGCAGGGAAAAGAGCAGCCAGAAACTCATTAAATGGGGTTGGTGGAGACAGAAGAGGGGCTGCAGCCTGACACACACTATGGAGATGAGTGCCAATGTCTCCATCTAACTGCAATAGGTGTAGGTGTCAGAGGAGTTCATCAACTACTATGGGTCATGCCCGTGTTCAAGGCTTCCTGCAGGAAATGCCAGCTGATATTCCTGGTGGGCCTTGGAACCAGAGTAGAGCACAGACAGGCCCAACAGGTTTCCTCATCATCTACAGGTGGCAGCAGGCCCTGCCACTTGATGAGCAGAACACAAGGGGAAGAAATGGATTAGATGATGCACGCGTGGTAAAGGTCTCCTCACTGCACACTTCAGAAGCAGGCCATATAGATGGCTCAGTTGACATGCTAAAGGCTGTGGGAGAACCATTCACTGATGGGGTCTGATTCTGAGTTTTGTTGAGCTGGGGAGCAGCCTCCTGCAGGGTTCACTCAAGGAAAGTGAGAGAAACAGGAGGCAAGACTGCTTTCAACTCTGGACACACGGGGTGGGCAGCCCCCATGCAGTGAGACCAATCCCACTACTCTCAGGGTATGTCTACACTAGCTTATTAGTTCGAGCTAGGTAAGCAAATGAGGGCAACTGGAGTTGTAAATGAAGCCCGGGATTTAAATATTGGACTAAGGGGGATTTAAAAATGGTGGCTCCCGGGAACATGCAAATGAAGCCCGGGATATTTAAATCCCAGGCTTCATTTGCAACTCCAGTTGCCCTCATTTGCCTACCTAGCTCAAACTAACAAGCTAGTGTAGACATACCCTCATTGTAGTCCAGCAGGACTCAGACTTTGATGGTAACAACTAGAACCAACTTCCCGTGCACCATCTGAATATGGAGATGGGAGTTTTCTGTTAGGGTTTCTGCAAGGTTGTTCTCCCCATCGGCAGCTGCTGCTTAATACCTGGTTAGAGGGTATGTCTACAGCTGTTATTCCAAATTAACTCCCATAGCGTCTACCCAAGCAAACCACTATTTCGAATTAAATCCAAAATAGCGGGGCGCTTAACTGGAGTTTGGTAAACCTCATTCTGTGAGGAGTAATGCCAAACTCGAATTACCTAATTCGGAATAAGCATTGTGTAGATGCTTAGTCCAAATTAGCTGGCCTCCCGCCTTCCCAGTTTTCCCTGGTGGCCACTCTGAGCCAAACCAGGAAAACTCTTCTCCCTCTCTCCCAGCCCTAGAGCCTTTAGAGGGGCAGACTCTGGCCACAGTGCCTGTGCCAGCTCCAAGCCTGCCAGCCCAGAGCCAGCAGTCACTGCCCCAACCCACTGGCCCCAAAACATGAGCCAGCTAGCCACTGGCAGCCAGACCTCCACCACTCCACAGGAGCAGTCTGCCAGCTCCCAGGACCTTCTAGGGCCTGGAGAAGGTGGTCACCTTCCTGGTCCAGGGCAGAGATCAGGGTGTACCATACTCAAGTTTGGCAGATGCCCCCTACGTCCATGATCTCCGTACTAGACAGAGGAATGCAGCTGTCTGTCAGAGTAGCTGCCAGCTTGGCTACCAAAGGCCACATGCAAACCCAAGAGCTGGTTTGCATGAAAATCAAGTTGGTCCAGCAAACCCCCAACCCTGAGCTTCTCCTCCCGCTTCTTCCCCTCACCTCTCCCCTTCCAGGTCCCTTCTCCCAGGTTTCCCCCTCCCCTCTCCCACCCTCATTCCCACCCCAGTTTTGGTCAATAAAGAGAGTTTGTTTCTGGCAAGAAATGTATTTTTATTTGACATCAGGAAGGGGGGTTAGGAAGGGGTAAGTGGAAGGAGGGAGGAATGAGGCACAAGCCCCCAGTGGGGCAGACCAGGGAGGTTCTTAGTGCTCCTCAGGGTGGAAGCTTTCCTGCAGGGCCTGGATACTGACATCCACCCCGATGGACCTCCCGGATGGCAGCCTGCAGAAAGTGCAGCCAGGCTCACAGCAACACATCCATGAGAAGCACCAGAGTGCCCTGGGGCAGCTCCGGCTCCCTGTTGCAGAGTGCGGTGGTGCCCCGAGTGAGGGCAAGCAGAGCAAGCAGAAACAAAATGCTTTTCTGTCCCTCATTGAGGAAAGCAAGCAAGCAGGGACACATGTGAACCGGTTGCCCAGGGGACAGGGGAAGGTGTGCCTTTAAGCACAGGC